GGGTCAGAAGCAATTTGCATGAACGTTGTCACAATATGTTATAAAAATGGAAAAGGCATTTTATGGGGTCCCCCCCCCCAGGAACATTTAGTAGAAATGTTGCTTCAGCCTATCCCGGTAGAGACATTTTTACAGCTAAACCTCCAGAATATCTACAAAGGCCTTGAGGAAGTGTGCAATTGCTCCAACATTTGGTGGCTTGTGTTTTGCTTGCTTATTTCCTTTAACGGACATTTTAGCATCTCTTAAAGTGCAAATTGAGCTGCAACTGGAAAATCATTTAAATAAATAAAAAAAATTATCAAGGGATGCTGCAAATCTTCACTCCAAACAAAAATGAAAATTGCAGTGGTTTTACTTCCTTAATGTTCACCGCATTGGTCTCTGAGAAATTCATTTGTCTGGAAAGCCCTAAAGCGGGTGTGTGTGTGTGCTCCAGCCTTGGCAGCTTTAAGATGGGTGGGCCTCAACTCCCGGAATTCCCCAGCCAGCGAACAGTTGCAAATCGTAAGGCAGCCTGATGTGACACCTGAAGGCCTCTCTTCTCTGCTGATAAGACTCAGCACGGATCTTGATAGGGAGCAGGAAAGAAGCCCCCCCCCCCCCCCGCCCTGTTCCTTTGCAATGCTCCCAGACCAAGATGGTGCTGATCACAGGACGAGCATGGGGATGCGCTCGCTCTCCTCCAGCATTTGCCCTTTAGCACCCAGCAGCTCGCTGGATCTCTGCCTCCCTCAAGCGCCAGTTGCTCAGCCCTTCAACGGTGGCCCAGATCCATGCTTGCATTTAATGGCCTCTTGGAATAAATCTGCCCATTCTTACGCAACCCCTTTTCTAGCTCACCTCTTTTGCACCCGGGAAAGAAATGGGAAAGGACAACCCCTCCCCTGCTTCTAGAACGCTGACTGCAGAAAGGGGAGTGGCCGCATTGGGGGCTCTTTAGGATAGCTACGAACCCCACCCGGAAATGGCACCTGAGAAGGAAGGAGGCTGGTCCTTGCTGGGTCCCGAAAGAGGACGGAGGGGAGGGGCTGGGACTATCTGGACAAGGTCAACCAGAGAAGGTCAGGATAATGGTTGCAACCAGGTGATCAAAGCTCCACCTCTTTTGGATAGGCCAGAAAGGGGGCAGGGCTTTCACCTCCTGTGGTGGCTGGCAACTTGGGTTTCTTAACTCTCCCGGGCTCCGGTTGTTTTGGTGCAAAATAGAAAGTGACTCATCCCAAGGACTCCCCCTCCAAGGCTTCCCAGGTCACTGTGGCCTTTTGGAGTGGGAGAAGGTCTGCCAGAGGGGTTTCTGTCTTCCGGTCCTGCTGCTCCGGCTAAATCAAAGGGGTGCTGGGGCAGTTTGCTGAGAGGCCCGAATTCAATCCATCCGGGGTCTTCTTCTATGTCCTCCTCACCCTGGAAACAAAACAAACACCAGCCGTGCAACCAGTAAACGAACGGCCTTTGGACTGAAACAAATATTACAGAATAAAAATTGGAATGGACCTTGGAGGTCTTCTGGTCCAGTGTGAGAGATGAATCTTTGCCAAGGACCCCAAAAGGGAAAAGGTTGGAAGGTTTTTCATGGTGGAAGGTCCAAGGGAGAGGAGGCATCAGTTCTTGGAAAGAGAGGCCGGGTAGCTCCAGGTTCATTGTCTTTCTGGACGGTAGGAGATCTTTGGAACTGATCCAACAAGGTCACTTTAAAAGGCCTATAATGTTCCATTAACAAGATCCATCCACACCTTCCTAATTACTTTCTTTCACCTTGTTTCTCGGATGGCCTTACCCTGAAATCGGGTCGTTTTACTCATTTCCATTGCATCTCTGGTCCCTGGATGTCAGGGAGAGTCCCCTCCACCCACTTTTATGGAAATTGCCTCCTTTATTGTAAACTGGGATCATTCTTTGAACTTAACATGCATTTGTGCTCTACTTAAAATGCAGCATTTTAACAAACACGCAGAACGTTTTAACAAGAATGAACTTTCCATCAAGGCTACATTTTAAATAAGCCACAATTTACAAGAAAATGTCAAACATGCATTAAGTTTATAAGTAATCACTAAACTGTGTGTAAGCAGCTATTTAAGTCAGAGGCCTTTCAATATTCAAATGAACTGATGGGCTGGAAGTGTCTCCGATGCAGCTGCTTCCCAATTCTTGCAGAGGGAGGGAGGGAATTGGGGAAGAAGGCAATTTATTGGAAAGTGGAAGAAAGTGGCTTTGAGGGGAAGAGTCAGAATGCAAAGAATGGCAAGCGAAGAAAAAGCTGGGGCATCCATGAGTCAACAGAGGAGACGATTTGTTTGGAAAGGGGACAGGTAGGATCGGGAACAAACAAACCCTGGTCATTCAGCCCTCAGCAGAACAAACAAAGGGATGTATTCCCTGCAGGGAGCCCCCTCCCAGGGGTTTCTGGAGCAAGTAATTTTGCAAACATCTGTCAAAATCCCTCTTGCTCTACATAATCCATGCAAATGCAGGTTCCATTCAGGAGGAAGGAAAATTCTCCCTGGGGTGCTGGATCTTCCGCCAGCATATCCCCATTTGCCCTTGCAGTTTGGGGCCGAAGAGGCAGGTGGCCTCTGAAAGTGCGTCTCCCTCTGGCCCTCGTGGTAAGGACCATACTTGCCGCCTTAAATGGCCATTAGTAGTCATATCAGCCAAATAGCTTCCGAGGCCACTGGAGAGACCAGCAAACCTACACCACCTTTCCTGCAAGATGTTGAGTATCTTGCAACGACGGCTCACCAAAAGATGTTGGCTAGAGGTGGGCCTCTGGTTGAAGGCCCAGTGACATCAGATGTATCGTGTGGAATTGGCCTGATGTTCAGGTGCTGCCACATAGTTAAAGACACGGGGTTGTGTGAAGCTTCATTAGGGTTTGAACTGAGTAGCTCTGAAAACCAGAAGCCAGACCACATTTCATGGACAGAGGAGGCCAAACGAAGCAGCCCACCCGAGAAGCCACAGGCGGATGGAGACCACGGAGAAGGCAGCTCTTGAACGTGGTTGCCTCCGCTAAACGTGACACGCCGTTGGCATTTCCCGGAGTGTCTGCCTCTTTTCATTTGGGACTGTGACACCTGGGGAAACATTCTGACGAGTGAGGGAAGGATAAGGCTTTCAAAAGACTCCCACTTCCTTCCCTTCTTTCACCTTTAAAAGAATGTCATCTCCCCAAATGTTTCACAGGAGGTTATGAACATCCTTGAAAAGCCAAACGGAAACCCTTCAGAACTGCCGGTTAATTGCCGGAAGGTCTTTCTCCAAGACCATGTTGGCTTGGCCATGTGGGAAGCCACCCACTGGGTTCTCGGTTGGGATCCCCTGGAAATGCTGGCGGCCTGGTGCCTGTTTTGGAAACAGGTTTCCAGGTGTCCGAGGGGAGGCTCTGCCGTGCGAACCTCACATCTCTCCCCATCGCCCACAGAGCTCTTCTTCTCCCTCGGACCTGAGGCCGGTTGTTGGGGGTTTTTGTCCTCCACTTTCTGCAACTTGGAGATGCGGCCCTGTTCTGCTCCTGCAGCAGCCACACCGGTCTTTCCAGGTGGGGAAAAGGGGAGAGATGTCAGCCCCCCTCAGATCAGGTCAGAGCCCCGGCCAGGGGTCCTGCAAGTGCTACAGATGCCAAGAACCAACAGCCCAGCACCAACCGAGGGCAGTGCAAGCAGGGAGCGGAGGGTCAGCCCAAGGAAGAACGCTTGCCATGGTTGATGGCGATGGCACTGCCAAGGGTGGGGCCAGAAGAAGGCCACGGCTTTCTTGAGAAGGTGGGTAGGAGGGAGAGAGCCTCAGGAAGTGGGTGATTCCTTGAGGAAGGAAGGAAGGAAGGAAGGAGGAAGGACTGCAGAGCCTTTCCGCTCTTTACACACGCAGCCCCCGCCCCGAGGATGCTCCTGTGCTGGAGCACTTGCATTATTAACACCACGCTAAAAGGTTTGCTCCTCTTTCTCTCCTCTCCCCACCCCCAAAAACCTCTCCCCTCAGTCTGCTGGCTCAGTCATTTCAACTCGGCTCTGAAGTTATCAGAAGCAAATCTGAAGGCCGAGTCCAGTTGCTCCTGGCAATGTCAGGCGGGTTTCTATCATGCCATTAAGAGGAGTTGGCAGCTCCTCCCGGCGCAGGCGCCCTCCCTGCTTTCTGCTTTCTTTCGGGGCTGCAGGAGGCCTGTGGTCCGGGGCACAGACAGCCTGCCGGGCCAGGGATTGGGCCCTCTCTTCCCCTCCACCTTTTGGGCGAGGTCTAGCCCCAGGCTTCAGCAGGCTGGTCCAGCAGAGAGGCTGCCGCTGAGGCCAAGGGAGACGTTCCTTTGTCTTGGACCAAGGGGCATCTCCCAGGCCTCCTGGAGAAACTCTCCGCTGCGGTCAACCTCACGGTCCCCCTGCAGGGGCTGGCCAGGGGGCTTGCAGACAACCAAAGGGAGGGGTCCAAAGGGGGAAAGCCATGAGCAATCGATTTGGGACGGGGGAAAAACCCACCCGTTCCTAAAGAGACGGGCCTTGCTCCCTGAGAACTTTCGGACTGACTGCATCTCAAAGGTCGGTAATGTTTAGGGACTGAGGGAAATAAACCTTTTTTAAAACGAAAGAATGCTTAGCTCTTGTAAATGTCTCAGCCACCCCAGGGTTTGTGTAAATGGAATGGAACTTTTAACTATCAGCTGAGATTAAGAGTGAACAGACACCCAACTGATTATATCCAGGGGAAACAAAAAACATACCACTTTATGTTGCTTTCTCGTTACTCCTGTTTAAAATTCAGTTCCTGACATGCATGTGTTATATTAAGATTCCTGACAGGCTCCTCAGTCAGGGGATCCCTATCATAGATGGTCATAGATGAGGTAGCCGAAAAGGGTCCAGCCTTGGACGACACCCCCTCCTCTTTTGTAATCTTCCACTTGGAGAGATGCCCACTTGTTTTCAACCTGTGCTTTTAGTTCTTTTAAAACCAGGGAGTGATTGCAAACAGCTCAAAGCTCCAGTGATGACTAATTCACTGCAAAGGAACTTCACTTATATTAGCACACAGACTAAAATTGGAACGATACAGAGGAGATTAGCATGGTCCCTGCACATGGGGTGTAACGTTGATTTATGGATCTGGGCTTTAGAAATAAATAAAACCCAAACAAGCCAATATCCACGGCTTGATGATCTTTTCCCTTCTTCATTTTAAAAGTCATTTTATACAAATATGCTTTCCTTTTTCGGAGGTCAAAGGCAGATCTGGCATCTAAATGCTAATGTTTCCTTGCACTTAAGGCAAACAGAAGAGGATGAATTTAACAGAAAATTGACACAGTTAAGAACCGGGAAAGAATTTTCCTTCTACAGTCTTTGCAACAGAACGAGCAATTCTATATTCTGGTTTTAAACTGTTGACTTCATTGTGTCTTGCACAGTCCATTGGTCAGGACAATTATAGCGCACTGCAGAATTTGCCGGCGGTAGGTGTGCAGCTCAGCACAAGGAGGAAGGAAGAAAAAGTACCAGGTGCTTGTAATGGGTTCTTGGGTTTGTCAGGTTAATTGGGGCTTTTGCTGATGATTGTCCCCTCCTTGTCACAAGATAGCTGGGCTCCGAGAGCTCAGAAAACAGCGTGTTTTGCTTAGCACAGTAGACGTTTGCTAAGGCAGACCAGGGTGTTGAGATAAGAACAAGACTGACCGGGTGAGAGGCAGAGTAAGCTGAAAAAAAGATTGACAAAGCAGGACCCAAGGGATCTAAGGAGATATGTCCAAAGGATATAAGGCGAATTTGCTCCAATGTTCCTTCTTCCATGTGAATGTCAGAATTTTTTTTTTAAATGGAGGTGAAAATTCATACATCTTGAAGGCACGTTTCTTCCAATCTTCCCCCTACCCAGCAGTTCAGCCTACTTAATTTCTTCTAGGATGAATGTCTCCAGAGAAATGGAGCAGAAGATTGAAATATTCAAAAAATATGGAAATCAGTTTGTCCTCTTCCTGAAAGTCCCCAAGGTGAGAGATATGGGATTAATTCACTGAAGTATGGGAAGAAATGCCATAGCAGGCCCTTGTCGAGTCCAGGTTTTTCATCCTTTGCTGCTAGCCTTTTGTGTTTCAAAATTACTAGAATGACAGAGTGTGGAACTGAACCCTTCTTGGAAGACTTAATCTGTGCTACAAAAGACTGTCAAAATTCCAGCTGGAAATGCACAAACTATTCACTGTCTGGTTGATATCAAAAGTCTCATCATGGACCTGGACCAGCTGAGATGCCACCCTGCTGCTGGGGCAGGGCAGAATCGGCGTTTTATCCTAATTCTGCAGTGTACAAAGTTGAACTCTGAAGTTGTGAACTGAGCCAATCCAACACAGCCAAGAGTTCTGTTCTCACTTCTTCCAGAAGAGATGGAGAGAGGAGGGGAGACAACCCACAGAAAATTCACACAAATCTCCCTTGGAGCTGAATTGCATTTCACAGGAGGTTGGGTTGGAAGATGGATTCTGTGGAATTCTCTGGACTTTGAGGCTGTCCCAGGCTCAACATCCTTCTCCGGAAACTCTGTCGGTCCCTGAGCAAAACCTTGTTGGGCTTCAAGAGAGAGAAAGAGGAAGGAGAAGGATCATTTCTTTTGCTAGCATTTACACCGTCCCCCCTTCAGGCTTGCTAAGGAACTAGAGCTTGCCTCGGGTTCTTGGGCATCATCCATACCAACCCAGATATTTGTATATTTAGCACTGCATGCTTGATTTCTATTAGTGCAGGCCCATATTGGGTTCCTGCATAGTTCTCAGAGGTTGTGCTCGTGTGTGTGTGTGTGTGAGAGAGAGCATTAAATCATGTTTTGTGAAATTGAGCTTGCAATTCATGACATGTCCTTCTTTTTCCATTCTCTGCAAAACGTTGGCATAACTGAGGGGCTTTGAGCTGGACAAAGGAGTGAAATTTCATTTCTATTCCGCGTCCAGGAACGAAAAAACAACAACAAGCCTAAGCAGTTTTTGAAAATAAATGCAGCTTTTCTCCAACACCAGCAAGAGCAAAGAAACCACTCCTGCACAATTTTGCTCCAAGGGACTTACCAGCCATTTAGCTCAAAGAACAGCAATAATTAAAAAAGGAGGACGCTGAAATGCCATCAGCAGAATGAGCTGTTAAGGCCCACTGGATTTTGTCGGCTGCAGCATAATTGCTGTACCGATTGGCATTGGCTCTTTTCTCCAGGCCCTCCCCGATCCTGGGGCGAAGGAAGGAAGAAGTCTCTGGCAGGGACTCTGCGGGAGACAATGGACCTTCCCTTTCTCAACTTGAGGCAGGCAGGAGGAGAGCACCGAAACTTCCAGAGGCGGTCCCATCCTAAGACCCTTCAGGGTGGCTGGTTCAGGGTGGATGCCTACTCTGCTCCAGGCCGGCACGTCCCACCAAGAAGTCCCACAGGGAGACCACTTATCAGGATCCGAGCCTCTTTAGTGGTAACACAGACTGGCAAAGCCAGCAGAACTTCCGGACATGGTTAGCCCCACCTGAGGATTGCCACACGCCAGGTGAGCCTGCCCTCCTCAGAGGAACAGGTAGATTTTCTGGTCATGAACCATCGCTTATGGGGAGAGGTAAGCCTGGAACAGCCGTGTCCAAGCAACCGGGAGCTTCGGCCCCAAGGCTGGGCTTCTTGAAAATTAGGAAGTCCCGAGAAAGGCCTTGCTTGAGGAGGGACGGCATCATAGAAGCAACAAGACTCAACACAGCCCCACAAGGTAACCATTTAGGGGGCAAACACTTCAGACATTGGAAGTGGGGTGTAGAAAGCTGCAGCCCGCCTTTGGCAGGTTGAAGACTGCCTAGAGAGGTCTTACTTCATCCTGTGGCCACTTGTGATCCAAATATAAATATCCCTATTTAATGCTAATGGCGCTCCAGGTCAATTTAATATCCCTTATTAACATTTACATCGGCAAACCTTCCTTAAGTAATTAGAGGAAGAGAGTTACAAGCACTTTGCTGGGAGGGATAATTTGAGGAAGATTTGCAAAAGGCTTAATTGGGGTCATCTGGCAACTTCCATCTTGAGGGACATCCAAGCCAGGGAACCTCAGGACTGCCTGATAAAGCAAGTGACGGCCTGGCTAAAACTATCCCTGAAGCAGCCAGAGTGGCTGTGAGGCTCATAGTTATTAGAGGGAAGTTGTGGGAGGCCTCGGGAAAACTTTTTTTTGCAACCAAGGCCATTCCTGTTTACTTACTCACTCTCTTCTCCCCTCCTTGACTCTCATATAAAGGCCTTTGTGTGTGTGTGTGTAGAGAGTAATTTTCAAGTGTCATTGATTTGGCCCGACGTTATGGGAAAGGAGTTGAAGGATACATCTCAGAAAGTGAACCTTGGATGCCGATGGCTGGCTGGTCTACATTACCCACATGAGGATGGGGTTGCCTGGTCAAGGAAAAAGACAAGGGCCCTCTTGGAAGGGAGCTCTGGAGTAGATTTCCGGAAGAGTCCCAGGCAAGGCCGTCCCAGCGTCTGGGTTCATCACTGCTTTCAGTCCGTTTCAGTTTTTATTGTGGGGATGCAAGGCTGCGCAAATGCATGTTTTCCCCACTGCCATATTCTGAAGGATTATAAAACGATGAAGCCCCTTTCCAAGGCTGCTCTGAATCATTCAGTCACAGCATGAACGCATGATGAATAACACCCTATTCCACTCCGCTATTCTTTTTTTAAAAAAAAAAAACATGTGGTACATCATGTGCAATTAAGTCACATTTCAATACCTCTTAATTTCCTGAGATTAATGCTGGGTGTCTCAACCTTGTGCGCAAGCCTTTAAGAGAGCCAGATTTTTATTAGCTCCATCTGAATATCAAATTATTCTGAGTAATAAAGCAACAATGATTTAAATTTTGCAGACAACCTCTTTACTGATGAAAGGAAACTCGTAACGACCCTGGACTTCTGGAGAAAGGGCCATTGGATGCCATTGATGGAGCCAACAAAGTTGTAACTGAGCTGAAGACACAAGTCCACCCAGATCCTTCTGCTCTCGGTTCCTTGGAGAAAGGTCCAACCATCCATTGAATGGCAGCTCTCATTCTCTAGGACACAGACCTCTTTCCTAAAACTATGATGGGATCCAGTCCCTCAGAGCACTTGAAGAACTTGGAGGAATGTCCCATGAGAGACGCTGAGGCCTGCTCCCTGTCGGGGTGGCATGTGGGACAAAGACAGGAAGCCCATCACCAGCCGAATAATAGAAAACGATGTCTAGCCAATGAGCAATTTTGGAGGGCAGTCAGAGGCCTGAAACGCTGGTAGGCTTTCCCTTCTCTTGATGGGTTCCTCCTGGACCTCCACCCATCAGGGATGCTTTGACTTTCTGCACTAAGAAAGGGGGTGGAAATCATGGGCTCAGGGGCCCCATCCAACTTGCCAGAACGAAACAGACTGAATCCAGACATCTGATTTCAGAGGTTAAATATGTGAAGGGCGTGACCTACTCGAGCAAGAGTGTTTTTCTGGCCCTTCTACAGAGAAAATGTGTGGGCAGAAATCTGAGTTTTGAAGGCTAACAAAAAAAGTAAAAACTAGTTTTTAATTTAATGCCACTTGTCCTTTGTTCCGGAATTCTGACAAGAATGTTTCCAATTCCTGTAATGTCTGTTTTCCATGTTGGCTCTTTGGCCGCTCACTTTTAATCTCCTCAATTTAGTTCATTTGAAGGAATGAGTTGCATAGCAGGAGGAGGGAAACTGGGAGAGGAGAAGGCTTGTTTGATATTGCTTCCTCATTTTATGCTTCCGCTGTTTAGGGGGGAAATGCATCATCAACGCACCAGAGAAGATGACAAAGTTTTGGTCACCTCAGACTTCAGTCTCCTCTCTGGGAACTTATGAGCAGCCGTCGAAGTGGCAGCTGGGAGCCATTCCGATGACAGAGCTGAGCAGTTTAAGTAATATAATAGCATTTCTTCTATCCCATTAAATTTCTAATTTCTTTTGCAAAAAACATGCATTGAATAAGGGGAAAAAAACAACAACTCTCCACTGAAGCTGTGGCTTATTCTATTTAATTAGCTGCCTTTTATGAAAAGCAGGCAAACACCAGCTGCACTTAAGCACACGGAGGGAAATGCGTTCTGGTTACGCAGCTCGTCCAT